ATAAATGACTTTAATAGTTATATGAAAACATATCTTTACGTAGTAAAGTTCATCTCCACGCAGAATCGTTTAAATATACATACGAGTATATATATATATTTAGTAAAATATATTATATAAATATAAATAATAAAGCATATTGATGATAAATACTCTATAGTATTGATTTATTTTTGATATAATGAGAGTAAATTTCAAACGCAATCTTCATTTCAAGCTAAGGAAAATTAAGTCCCCATACTATTATAGATAATTAACGTAGTGTTTATTTTCTTTAATTGACCAAAGTCGCTAGACTATTGGTCTGAGTTATTCTACTAATTCATCAACTCATAGTAAACACAGTAAAAATGAATCTTCAGAGAGTTGATATCACTTTAATGTACTGCGCAATAAAGCTCCACAAAGTATATGTTACGTTGTTGAATTCTATGAATAGAATATTTATGCTCATGGAAAAAATAATCACTCATAAAACACTCGATCTCTTATACCTACGTTAGGTTTTGACTTTTTAAGTTCAATTGGAGATCGCGATGGCGAGAAAACGAAATGCAATACACATTAAAGATATATATATATATTATATATATATGATAGTATATTATGTGTGTAAATAAACCGCATATATATTGGTGTATATACAGTATTACAGAATATATTATATGTATGCTCATGCGCTCGGTGTTTTTCACGCTTGCTGTCGACCATTATTATTTTTATCATCATTATTATTATTATAATAGTCTGCTTGCACACACGCGAGTTTCGAGACGCAATGAATAATTTACTCAAAGCCTAACTACACGGCTTATGCAGGTATATATACGTATATAGGTACACTGGTGCAGGTATACAATATACACCTATATTATATATTCGCAGCGCGTCAAGTGAGACGTTCGAATATATAGGTACGTATATATAGGTATGGAGTATAAATGTTAAAAAGTAAAATAAATACAAAAAGGCGCCTTGTGCTGCATCAGACATCACGCCAATAAATCGTGCAAGTCGCCGTCGTCGGCGGCGAAACGGCACTGTGTGTGCCCACCATATACGTATATAATATAACCACCGCTGATAGTGGATAAACATACGTGTGTGTGCGTATGTGTATGTGTAGACTTTTGTATGAGTACACGGTGTACACGGTATTATATACGAATATATCGATCCGATCGCTTTTGTGCCGCCGACCAAACGGACTGTGTAGTATATTATTATGATACAGGAAATAATGTGTATATTGTATATTATATTAAATCATTGGTCGAGTATATTATTATATTGTAAAACGAGTGAGTATTATTATTATTTAATAATATACATGAAATAAGCCGCTAAACCGATTCAGTATTTAGTTGAATGTACAAAATTATAATAATATAATAATGCACAACTATAGTGGTTGTGGAACTAAAGCACACCGTGGTAGAAAGGTATGACTTTATTCAAATTTTGTTAGAATTTAATCAATATTGAATACTGCAATTCTTAAAAAATTAATAAATGATAAACATGTGTATGTGTTTAGATTTAATACATAATATATGCATATAATTTAGTATTGACTAACATTATAAGCTAAAACATTTTAGTCTTTTTAGGTATATGATATTTAAAACTAAAGATGTATTTATTAAATTTATTACAGACCTAAATAAAATATTAAAATCTCAAGCACCATTATTTAAAAAAAGATTCTGATTGTTTAAAAATACGTAGGAATTGACCGTTATTAAGTATAAAAAACATTATAAAAAAAAAAAAAAAAAAAAAAACATTATAACTATATATAAGTATTAAACCATTGTAAACTGAACACGGTCGTACGGCCTACATCCCTATCTTTATAATATATTACAAAAATATATAGTATATGATATTGGTGGATAATGGATACATAATATATACCTGCATTTAAGGGTTAGTCTGGTTGTCTGTTTCGGAATAGAATATGTCGAATATGTCTATGTACGCATATAGACCTATGTCTGTATGTATAATAACTACACCTTATAACAATAAAATACACACGTCTTAAAAATATATTTCCGTTTAATAACGGTAAATTAAATAAATAATTGTGTCTGTATAAAATTCGTTTACCATATAATTATTACTGTGCATCTCCAATAATTTTTTTTGTTTCGATTCATGTATAGGGTGATTCATCGAGTACTCTCAACTCATTTTTCTTCAATAATGCAGTTAATAAAATATAGTTTTAGATTTTTTAATTATACTTAAATTATAGTTTTCAATTTCATGAGATTTTTTTTTGCTAGTTAAGGATTGTGCTCTTGAAGATATAACCCTTTGATTTTTAAATGAGAACCTCCTTTTTCTGCTTTTAATTATTTAGTGACTAAATTTTCTCAATATTTCATTGTTTTAAAATCAAATTTTAATGTGTAATTTTGAAATAATCTATTTAATTATTACCCTTAGTTTATTGAAAGCCAAGAAACTACTCGTCTGAATTTTAAATGAGGCATATCACAATTTAAAAAAAAATAATCCACTATAAATAATTCATATTTCATATTAAAATCGGTGTATTATGGTAGCACAAACATTTTTAAAGTTTGATAATATGATATTTAAGTATATTCAAAATTCCAAAAATTATAAATAGAATACATTTATTATTAAATGAAAAAATGGGGTAACTGGGTAAATATACTTGGTGAATCACTCTATATAACATAGTATAGGCTATAATAACTACCCGACAATGTTATATAATAATACGGGCGCCTTGACCACAATGATTTGGGTACTTAATACGCATGTATCATATATTAATATTATAATAATATACCTGTATTATAAATACGGTAAAGTACACTCGATGCTTACCGCCGTTTACATCTATACACGTGCACACAGCCACACGACAGGTAGTATACCTAAATATTGTACTGTCTACAAGCATAATATAGCGTGATATGCCAAAATTAATCGAACACAAATTATACATAAAATATTGTACATATACAATACATCTCCAAGATCCCGGAGGGTTTATACCGACGGGATAAAAAGAATACACCAGCTGTCAATAATATAATATTATACTGCTGTGGCGCATTCGTCTGTACACACACACACACATACCTATATGTGCAAGGGGTGATTTATATATATATATATGTATACATAAAGGTATGTGTAATAATAATCATTGGTTTCGTCCGTGATGACGACGATGATCCTTGTATAGCTTGCAGAGTACATTATGGGAACGACCAACGGTATTGTCTCTATATACACGTAACCGGCAATTATTATTTTCTGGAATGGATGAAAATATTGTCGAACGGGTATTTATAAAAAGTCACCTGCAGAACGGCTATTATTTGCAAGTGATAGAGGATGGCAATGAGTGAAACGACTGCGTGTAAGGTTCTGTGAGTCATAATCGTCAATGTTTTCGTTTTATTTTATTCGAAAATCGCCACCATTGCAATATATTTATTATATATATATATATTTATTCTAATTAATTATTACGAAATTTATAAAAGACAAGGTGTAGTTGGGCAAAAAATTACATTTTAAAGTCATTTAGCACCAACTATCTATTTATGTAAAAAAAAAAAACAAACAATTTTAATTATTGGAAAAATTTATTATTTATAGACTTGATTTCATATACATATCGTAGATAATTCTAAATACTCAAATTAGTAATTACTAATCTAATTCACCGTGAATAGCTGATCATTTTGTTTCGTTTAGAAAATTACTTGCCCGAAGATCCGCTAAATTGTGATATACGTATACATTAAGTGTATCTACTTATTACTTAATATAATTTTGTCGGTTTGGCAGTTTGACGATATGAGTAAAAGTGTTAAAAAATACTATACAATAAAACAATATCGATAAATGAACGGTCATAGCAAAGGATATGATTAAAAGATGTGTGTAAATTATATTTTTATAATCTTGATTTTAATGGATAAGGTTTAAACCCTAAGAAAATATATATTTTTTGGCTTCGAAATCCAAAATTAATTGGTAATAAATTATAAATAATAAAAATCTATTAATTTTACGAGAATAAATTCTAAAGAACTCCACTGGTCTACGAAGTAGCTACAACAAAATATTACATCAGGTTTGTTATTCAATTTTAATTTACAAAAAGTTATAGCAAATATTTTAAAAATCGACTACAAAATTAAAACCGAATAGACAATCCAATATGTAAGCATACACTTATAGTGATCGACGAATAATCGAAGTAGATACTTTGGTTGTCCAATCGCAGACACGACGGGAACGTGAATATGAAATGGATTAATTGGAGTAAAAGAGTTCGAGAGTGTCACGTTTGTAAAAGAAGTCCTCGTTGTTAGAACGGTAATAATTTTTTATGAGATTTACTAGTACTTGTTTTCGGAACGTCTATGAATCGAATTTATAATATTTAAAATACGATTCTAAACACAAATAGAAATTAAATCCCGTAATTGGCGATATGATAAATACAACGTATTTTTATATGCCGCTAAAAAAAATAACATCATCGGAATATCGTATGTACGTGTTACAATAATAATATTATTACGACATGCGTATAACACGCATTATTACAGTAATTTGCCCAATGTCCATGGCATTCCGGTCCGTAAAACAATTCGGAACTGTTTCCACCCTGAATTTCACCGTGTTCCGCGGACTCCGTGAACCCGTTCGAACACCTCTGTCCGGATATCGTATTCGTGTTATAGATGATAATGTCCACGTGGAGAGATTACGTACCGGCACACCGGTGGTCGGTCAGCCGGCCGCACCGTCCGCAGCCCGCGAACGGCGCGCGCGTCCGTTGTAGGCGGTCGCCCGCCGCGCAACCGCGGCCGGGTGGGAGACGGACGGACGGGCGCGCAGAAAAGCAACGAAAATAATGCGCTGTCGAATAAAAAGGAAAGGAAAGAAAAAAATTAAAAGAAGACGAAAAACCCGAACCGAACCGATCTCGGTCGGCGGGCGCGCGCACGCGCGTGCTCGCGTTCGCGTGTGTACCCGAGTGCGTGTAGCGCGCGCGCGTAGTGGGAAAAAGAGTAGTAGAAGTAGTAGTAGTAGTCGCCCGCAGTCACCGACGACGGCCGGCACCACTGCAGCGTGTGTGTGTTATATTGCACGTACGTAAGTTAAAATTATTATTATTATTGTTGTCGTTATTATTACTACTATCTCTGCCTGCGCCGACGACGACAACGACGAGGGAAACGACGACGTTAGCGGCCGATGAGCGACACGCGACCGCCCGACTGTTATTACTCGGACCGGAAGAAGAGCGCTTCGTCAATATAATATAATATAGCACGTCCGTCGTAAGGAGGTAAGCCCGCTCGAATATAATAATATTGTCATAGTCGTTACTAGTATTATATTCATGTATAATATTACGGCGGTTGCGTGTTGAATTATTCGCGCTGCTCGCGGAAAAACCGTTTCCGGGGCATCCCTGCCCCGCCGCCCCCACCCGGCGAGTATCACTCCGATAAGACCACCTGCACCCCCACCCCATAAGCGATGCACTCTTCGTCAGCGGTGCAACAGGCGCACCACCACCGTCAACAGCAGCAAAAGCAGCAGCAGCAGCAACAGCAACAGCAACAGCAACAACTACAGCAATCTCCGTCGTCTAACAACAACAATAACAATAATAAAGACGACGTGGTCATGGGACAACTGTTGCAGAGATCGCTGCAAAACGTCGCCCTGTCGCTGCAGACCACGTTCGTGTCGTCGCTGCAGCAGGCCGCGCTACTGCCACCAGACTCACCGGTGGCGGCGGCACTCAACCTGCAGGCCCTCGAATCGTACATCACGCTACAGCGATTGACAGCCGTGCCCCGTCAACCCGCGGTAACCGCAGTGACCGTCGATCGAGCGCACGCTAATGGCAGTGTGGTGGTTGTGCACGAATTGTTGGATGACGAGGACGAGGACGACGGCGTCAAATGCGGCAAACCGTCTTCGGTGGACGCTGAAGACGCTGACTACCTCGACGACGACGACGACGATGACGACGACCCCGACGACAGACCGACGCCTTTGGACGCCAGCGGAGTTGCAGCTAAGGCTGCCGCTACGGCCGCCATTGTCGTGGCCGCCAGCAGGGGAGGCCGTCTCCCGGCGTTCGCTAAAGAGCTGTCCAGCTTGTCACCCAGAGCTAACAGGCTGTCCGCGTCGTTGACCGCTGCCGCCGCCGCCGCCGCCGTCTGCACCACGGCGATCGTCGACGAGGATAGTACCGTCACAGCCACTGCAGACGCCGCCGACGAACCCGTCGCCGCCTCGCGACACTTGCACAACCTCCAGGACAACAACAACGGACCCGTCCCGAGACCTAAGAAACAGTTCATCTGTCGGTTCTGCAACAGGCACTTCACCAAGTCATACAATCTTCTCATACACGAGCGCACCCACACGGACGAGCGGCCGTACTCGTGTGACATTTGTAAAAAGGCTTTCAGAAGGCAAGACCATCTCAGGGATCACAGGTAAATATCTCATAGTTTTATACGGCTTCGATACTATAGATATATATTATAATATATGTGCGACTGACGTATACGGTATTAAATGCATAGTCTCAATATATATACAGTCATGAACTTATTATGTAATAAGTAATAACAAACCAATATAATATTGATACGGATAGAACTATTGGTAGGTATATTAATGCATTTTTTAAATCGATTACATTTTTAAGCCGAACCGTGTGTTAAAGGGAGGTACAGTCGATTCTAAGGGTTGTAAAGTCCTTCCTCCTCCATATTCTAATTCACTTCTGATATTTCGTCATTAGATTTTATGGGAATACTGCACGCACGAATGATGCACTGAAGTCGGGAACAAAAGTCGTGCGTATTAACTTAACAATACCTACGAATGAAAGCAAACTAGTTGGAACAGAGATTTCTAAATATTATTTCATTATTAATTAATAATATATTTTTTTTTTTATTGTATAACGTCGAGGCCTAAGATTAGACTCTACCCATATAGCACAAATACCGCACACACATATCAATCAATCGGAATATAGTGTTGTACGTAACGTTGCGTTTAATTAATTATCCGTGCCCGCAGTGTAATATACATAAGTCATGGTGTATATAAGAACTAAAGAGAGCTTAAATTGTAGAAGAAACCCTTTAACCTGAGTGACGCGCAGATAAGTCTTACGTCATATTCCATACTATATACATAATATAAATACGTATATTATGCTGATAGGTGTACGGGTGTATCTACTTATTATTATTATTATTATTATTATTATATTACACGCGTTTATAGGTAGATCGCGTCTTAATAAAAATATATTCTAATAATGCTGTCTACATCGTTAAAATAAATAACATACATTAATTTTATATTACAATAATTAAAGGCATCGCTTGTCCATATTTTAACTGTACCTATACTGTGCTTTGTAGGTACGGATCGGATCCAAAAACATTGTTGGCATATCATGGTGGTTGACACCATATATAGTATACAAACATTTTACGTTGCGTGCAACACTCAGTATTTTATGGATAATTATTATACACACTCGGACGTCAAAGCATCGTTATTTCGAGAAACAAATTAATTTTGGGATCTTATTTATTTATTTATTTATTGATATTATTATTACAGTTGTACTTACGCATATAGTTATATAATAATATATTTTCTACGCCGTTCGCGATCATCGTATTTTACGACTGTTGTCGTTTAGTCTTCGTTTATGGTGACCGCCTTGCCACTACGACCGGATCATATCATTACCACCCGCGAGTGGTGCATAACAATATTATTGGGGTGGTTTACGCGCGCGCGCGCATGTGTGTGTGTGTGTGTGTGTGTGTATTTGTATGTGCCTTCTCGCTTATGCTCGTGCGTAATATTCCTATGGCGTGAGTGAGTGTGTGTTACTAACAGCGGCGGTTTTCGAGTTTAAAAGATGTTATCATTTATTTTCAAATAATAATTTACGGGATACACCAAAAGCGGTCCGAAGTAGGTACATAATATGTGGTATAAAAAAAACTTCACTCCGACCCGCGTGCTCTGCGTATCGAATTACCCGCGCTTCTTTTACGACGATTCTCTCTCCGCAACAGATCTATACGTGCAGGTCCTCCCGATCATTTGCGCGATACACGATTTTAATCGTCCACCGTCCTCTTGGGCCGACAGTTTAATAGCTGCACGTCGTATTATGTTACGCTCACGAAAACGGTTTTCGGGAAATCGAAAAGAATTTTTAATTCTCCACAGGAATGTTTTAGACGAAAGAAAAACGTGAGAAAACTCCGCTGGTATAGCTGTTTAATTCAACGTAATTATTCCGTCTACAGTTTTAAAACTATTAACATGAAAATTTTTTTCATATATTTTGCGTCATAATATAGTATTATTGTATGCATTATAATTTGTATGATAAATAATTTTATTAATCAATAACGTCAAATTAATAGTGTGTTATTATAGTGTGATGAATATTATAAAATTGAATTAAATTTACACAGTATATTTATATAAAAAGTTTACATACGTAACATTACGGTATATAGTATATTATATCGATTATTTACTAGTATAAAACAAAACAAAACAAAATTAAAATTAAAAAATTAAATTCGTCTCATATAAATTTCACGGAGTTCTTTAATTCGTCTATTAATATTGACTCGAAGCTTACTAAAAAAAATAATATATCATTAAATCGCGTGGGTATATATGATAATCCGATTCGTTAACTATAAATCGATTTACATAATATTATTATACAACTGCGTATTTGCAGCGCTCGTTGTATCAGTAATACTACGAACGTTTATTAAGCGACTTAAGTTCATAATGTTGGCTACGAAATCTTAAATAGAAATTAAATACGGGTTCTGTACACTCATATAATACTGTAAAATATAGGCAATAAACGAAAAAATGGTATTTTTCAATTCTCTCTTTCGAAATGAACGCTTTAATACAATATTATCGAAAATTTTCCGACTATCATATTTCTATTGATTGTGGGTATACGCATTATTACAATTCGGTTTAATATATAACGTGATGACATCGTACCAGTTTCATGTCGTACACAAGTATTTTGATTTTGAATACTTGGGACGTCTGCACTCTATATTTCAAAAATCACCTATAAAATAAACACATCCACGGTGAACTATTCCTGCAAAGGGCGGTACCACGATGCAAACACTTTTGAAAAATACGACCACTTCGAACCGCAGTGACTATCATTCATAAACATTAAACATTAATATTATTTACAAGGCACTATATATAACACACATAGCTATACACACATGATATATATTATTATATTATTCTAATATTATATAAATAGATATATTATTATGTGTCTGGGTGTCTCCTATAAAATAAAAATACGGATGACCATAGAAAGGAAGTATGTTGGTTTGGCTTCGAAAACCAGTCTACGGTGTGTTGGAAAACAAACGATCCGCGAGTGCGCATACTCGCACACACGACTCGTCGTCGTATTATCATAAAATTGTTTTAACGTCGTCGTTAGGTTAGCGTTTTTATTAGACAGTAAAAACGGATGTGTGGCGCGAGCGCGCAATAAATTTGTCACCGAGAGAGGATTTCGTTGGTAGGTCGGCGGTGGACTGTGGAGAGGAACGCAGTTATATACTATATACCTACCTATATATATAATGTCACTGTCTATTTTACGTCGCTGCTGCGCGTTTTGGTCACGAGCTCGCGCGCGCTAAGAAGAAAAAAAATTCGCGTTGGCGGAGGAGCACGTCACGTCTCGCAGGGGTAATGCACACCATCGTCGCCGTCGAGTCGATCAAATAACCGGCTTGCGCGTGCGCCGTATTTACGATCGTATAAGCAGCACTCAATTCTATATGGTTGGAGAGTGCGGGAGCGAGAAAGATAGTGAATAAGTAAGAAAGAAAGAGAAAGAGAGAAATATAAAATATAAACTTAATCGTGTGTGCGTGGTTTTTATTATAATATCCTTTTTACTCCACGCGCTCCGCACATTTGGATATCTGCCATGATCAGAATAGTAATAAAAATTTTATTTAAAAAAAAAACCTTTGACGTATTTTTCATCTCCGGGTTAAAAAATAAATATCGCAACGGCTCCGTCGTTTCCACAACCTATCGGACGTTGTGCTGGTCGCGATCCGAAATGCTTGAACGTGTTATACAGGTACAAAATATAAGAGCCATAATCGTGTCTATTATCATGATACACGTACGATAATAATTGTACATAATACAGTACATAACGTAAAAATATACGCCCGCTATTATAATATACACGAATGTGTGTATGTGTGTGTAACAATGGTCTGTGACGACGTGAGTAATATGACTTGCAAGCCGCTTTTGTATAATATATTTAATAATAATAATATGTAATCCTTGTCCATTTATCACCTTCAACGTGTCCCCGCGCGTCATCCGTCGTGGGAATGAAAAGGTCAAGTGCCATGCGCGTAGGTATATAATATTATTATTGTTATTATTATTGTACACCGAAGAACCTATCCGCCGAACACGGGGCGGTGGCATGAAGAGAAGTGTATAGTACACCCCTACGACGAGACCGCGACTGCAGTGTATACCTTTTAATGGCTTCATTATTTTATTGTGTGCGTGTCGTGTGCCGTCGCCGACGCCGCACTGCAGGGTCGCGCTACAGTCCATTAAAAACCGATTGCACAATAAAAATACACTTTATATATTCCGTGGCAACCTAACCGACGGCACACAATAAGATTTTTAGAAAACAATATTTTCACGGTTCATTTTGAACAAAATTGTATTTAATATTTTAATACTGTATTCGTAAGAACACTGAACGCATTTGGTTTTAATCGTGATCCATGTTAAAGTTATCATATTATAACCGCTATGATAATAATGAAATTGCCAAACTGAAAAAAAAAAACTAATATAAAGTGAAATGATATCTTTTTTTTTACGTAAAACTACTTTGGTAAACATCTTGTCTCCAAACTATCAGTTAGAAATAAAAAAACATTCTGCACGGTTTATATTGTTTATAATGCCCATCGCCATCGCTTTGCAATACTTTTTAACAATGTTTATTGTAGACAATATAATATCGGTCGTCTCGATGTACATACATATAAACTGTCCAGTCGTTAAAAATCCATTTGGTTCCTGACCGAACGCCACTTAAATTGCCCTTCTTATATTATACATAATACATGTGGCGTGCTTATAAATATTAAACATGTCACGAATGATGCGATAATAATAATTAGAGACTGCAAAAATTATAAATCAAGTGCAAAACTGCGGTCAGCCATTGTAATAACAATAACAAATGATTAACGTCTCGGTAAAACATTTGTATACAAACTTTTATGAAAATTCATCGTTGACAGCTGATTAAATGGCGCAAAATAATATATACAAAACAAAGAGAAAACACGAGTCAAAGTCATAGACTATCGTTATTCGTCTGGAATAATTTTTTAACTGAGTCTTGGGTTGATAAAAAATCGAGGTGAAGAGTGTTTCTGACAAGGTGTTGGAGAAACAGAGATGTGTTATAAATTATAAATGCGTTACAAGCGCAAACGACTGGATTTGTCAAGACTAGTTTACCGAAGATAAAAAATAAAAACTTAAGTGGAACCGGTTCGAATATTTTTTTAGATGACAACTGACAACTACCAACAATGCAATATTTCACAATATTTATAAAATTATATTATCGCTCGTATTAGTATTACCACTTGGTCAAACAACCTTTTTAATACGAATTATTTTTGGAATTTAACAGTTATGAATGTTATAGTCATGTAACGTATTTTAATTGTACAAATTGTATAGTGATTATAATTAACTATGAACTGTTTATGGATACATTCATTTATAATAAACTATCTATTGATCGTCGAAAGACTTTAATTTATATCGTTTAACATACAATTTTTAAATTTGTAACAAGTTTAAACTAACCATATAGATATTGACTAAAAAATAGGTATTCAATTGTGATTAACATTTTTATATGCAAAATACGTAAACGGTTTTTTTCTAGTTTTCATTTTTAAATTATTTTTAAACGTAAACGTATTTAAAACTAATTAAAAAACAACGTAATTGATTTCAAATTGTTTTGGTGGTCTAATAAAGGCAAATAAAAAAAAAAAGCTGTATAACTTGTTTGATTGCACAAAAATTGTAAAAATAAACGTAATTGGTAGGAAATATGAAATAGGTGTAAGCACTAGCGTGGTAATATTCGATATAAATGCGGAATTTACTAGAGATAAAATAAAATACCACAACACTACATAAGATATATTATGTATATAATAAACTGATCGAGTTGGTTTGTTCAAAAAATATTCTATTGCCTTGTTGGTATATACAGCCGGATAATAATATGTTTGCGATTGCGATCTTCGATCGCCTTGAAGTCTGTGTAGATACCGGTAATAATAATTCATAGACGCATACACATACACACAAACACACATACATAAATATACATAAACAATACAGTAAGGATGCCGCACCTTTCCACCTTTGAAACCATACGGGGCAACCACTTCGTGGACGTAATAGTGCGAATATCTAATCAATACTGCTGCAGACAAAACTAATTATCGATATTATTATATTCTATTCTAAACATTATTTTAACATATTTTTTTATATTTACAGCGGTTTAGTATTTTTAAATGGTTTAAAAAAAAAAATAAAATCGTCCTACTTATGACCTATGTCAGGAATTTCAATACACTAAAATACAAAAATATTTGTTTAGGTAGTAGGTGCGTTACAGTATTTTCCATTGTGTTGTCTATATTCTACTCTGCGTGATGGTTCTGATCGATCATCCTACGATGTATGTGATATATACATTTTATAATAATTATTTAATAATTTAATATTATTTTAAATTTTAAATATTTGTTCGCGCAGTATTACATTAATATGTCTGTTGGACATGTCTAAACATAATTATAATATGTAGATTAACAAAGTTTGACTTTGCAAAATTAAAAAAGAGGGACTCAGTTAACTTTTTAAAAAAAAGCGTCCCTATCACTTTTTAAACATAACTGAGCCATGGAGGCTACGCCCTCATACTCCCTAATACCCCTCTTTAAAACATAAAAAATATTTATAAATTATCAATTTAAAAAAAAATTACTGTAAATATTACATTATATATTATAGTTACACGTTATAAAATGTAACTTAAAAGTAATTCTAAATATAAATTTTTAATAAACTACTAAGTGTCTAAGTACCTATTGACTACTTACTTTAATCCTTTTTAAAAAATGAAAAAATATCACTTTGTGATTTCTTTTTTTTAGCCATCGTATAAACAAATATTTTTATACAATATAAAATAACAAATATCAATTACTTAAGGTACTATTCAAGTAGTAAGAAAATAAGACAGTTTAGATTTACAAAATAAAATTTAAAAAATAACAATCTTTAAATCTATGATAGGTAATTGGTAACAAATATTAGTAAATAATGATAACAGTGGTAACTGATTATATATTATATAAGTTATCACGGTCTGAGAGTTATAAAACATGATTAAAGATAATTATGTATGGTAAGAAAAATTATGATATTATTATGTGCATTTTGACAAAATTGCAGAATAATGCAGCGTTCCGTACGTTCCTCTTAAAAATATAAGTAGAGATACTTTAAAATGTCTAAAAATTAGTTGGGGTACTCCGTCTCCCCTAATCGAGCACTGTAAATTATAGAAATAAATACTATTTGAAAATAAATAATTTAACTGTATTTATTATTACACAGTAATAATTATTGCAGTGATAGCTAAGAACAAAATAGGAAATAATGATATTTCTAAAATAACCACGTAATACTTAAATATAATATTTTTTTCTTTTCGAGGAATATTAACTTATATTATTATGAATTACCTATATAAAATCATAATCGGTAATACCATCATAACTATCGCAATACAAATAGACTGCACGTGGTAATACAGTTCCCATTTACAATGCCACAACACAACAATTATGTTTAAGATTTATCAATGAGTACATATTATAGAAGTAAGAGAAGTGACAACAAATTGCATTTGAAAATAATGAAGTTTTCCGTTGAGACGTCAATGAGTGTAATTGGGTCACTTTCTTTCGTAAGCTCTGAAAAAGGTAACTTCCACGTATAACCAAAATCATTACACTCGTTAAGGTTGATACAGGCAATTCATTTCGTACAATAATAATGCGATACTAGGTCGATCTGTCATCGTGATCGCGTGAAAAGCAAAATTAATATTATTAGGTGGGTGCTAATCGTTATCACAAACGTGTCGGCAAATTCGGATAATATTCATGTAAGTCGCTTCAGGTCAAACATTCACAGCTATGTAAAGGTAAACACGGAACATATATAGTTCCTCCTGTGTCTGTGCAATATCGATTAGAAAGTTCAATAGAACCACAACTCCTACTATTACGATAAAAAAATCAAAATTACTTTTATATAATTTAATAAACGATTCATTAATCGTTTCATTTTCAATAATCCAACGTAACAATCAACAATTAAAATAAAAAGTAAGCATAAACACACGAAAAAAATTTATGGATAAATTCGTAAAATCTATTACAATAACAAAAAGAGACCTATACGTATTAAAACTACGTATTGCACAACATAATAAAGTGTGTACTTAAATCATTAAATTTCTGTGTTAAAATTGAAACATTACGTAGTTATAATAGGGATTATATGATTGGAGAACGACCTCTGAATATATAATGTCTAATATGTATCGCATCGGTATTTGTTACCGATGATATTACCCAACATAAATTTTTCCCAATAACTTTCAACCACACAGTCCAGGTGTGTATTGGGTAGGGAAGAGGCTTTAAAAAAATAATCAAAATACACGGCGTATTTTTATCTCAGTTCATCAAGTGCAATATTATATGTATGGATATTGGATATAGTTATCGAATGATAAAATATAAATTTTAATATTGCATCGAATTAATAATCTATAGAAACCGTATCATACTAATTGCAGTTGAAACAAGCTTTTAAACTTTATTTTATTATTCATTTTTTTTTTCGATAGTTATAAATAATAAAAATAGTCGATATGCCGCTTTATGTATATATAGTAACAATATTTTTATATTTACGTCTAGCCTATATAAAAATATAATATGTTCTTACAAGTTACAATTTTATAAGTCATAAATAAATAAATTATAACTTATTTATAACTTATAAGTATTTTACTATATAAAATGTAACTACATATTCAATTATTAAAGCCTTCGGAGAACCAAATAAAAAAAATTCAAAAGTTCCAAAATATATTTTTGATGCTACTGATTTTATTACAACATTCATTTACCTAGAGAGGGTCAAGTTTTTAATACCTCCAAAATTTGCTCAGATCACGTAACTTAACGTGAATTTACTATATTTTTTTTAATAATATTTCATAACGCCTTTCCCTAAAAAAATTTTCTGATTACGACTTTTATTATGGTATAATAGCCAAACTTTTTATTTTTCTAATCAGTAAGGTAAATATGTTATGATGTTATGAGGTAGTATCTTAAGCCATTAAACGTAAATTTAAATAATCATCGATAAATTACATTACGATAAATCATTAAAAAAAGTTAGATTAGAAAACATTCTTTTTCATCTATGTCAAGTCAAATTCACAATAGTTTATTCTTCTAGAAATTTAATTGTCGCGTAAAATTATTAAGGAAGAATGCATATAAGCGTAGTGACTAGTAGTTTCCCATTTTTTCCTGTACTAAAGAATGATAGGTATCGACTGTACGTACTTGTAACACTTAATCACCCGACTACACAATCGTTCTAAACGAATATAATACTCTATAAATAAAAACAATTTTAAATATGCAAAACAATACAAAATACAATTTTGTATTTGCATTCTCAGAGACTTGAAAAATGTTTTGGTGTATAATAAAATAAGACTATGCTACGTTCAACACTACGAATAAGCATTATCATAGCCTAGGTATATAGACATATCTTACTTATACATAATTCACTATATGTGCATCATGACCCTGCACATGTTATCATTATGATTATAAACTATCGTGTATTATTAAATTAACCATCGCGTGTGTTTTTCCTATCCGCAGGTACATTCACTCCAAGGAGAAACCATTCAAGTGCTTAGAGTGTGGCAAAGGGTTCTGCCAGTCGCGCACGTTAGCCGTGCACAAGATCCTTCACCTGGAGGAGTCGCCGCACAAGTGTCCAGTATGCAGCCGGAGCTTCAACCAGCGATCCAACCTGAAGACACACCTGTTGACGCATACCGACATTAAACCATACAACTGTCCGACGTGCAGTAAGGTGTTTCGCCGGAACTGCGACCTGCGTCGGCACAGCCTCACGCACAACTTGTCGCCTGTGTCCGCGGCGTCGGTACAGCTGGCGTACGCAACTACCGAACTGCAGTCGACCGCAGTCATCGCTGACGTGCATGGAAGCGACAACGACACCATAGCGGCTACGGACAGATGTGGCCGCTGATCTCATTTTGAAAGGAAGAAAAAACAAATAATTAAAATAAAACGAATCCATCCCACCCTCCCCCGGCCCACCGCTATGAAAACTACGGTATTGAGTTTTATTTTCTTACTTTTAAATTAAACGTAGGCAACCAAACACGCGAAAATATCATAATATTACAATAAACGTGCAAATTATGAGTACAATTTTATTCATTTTTTTCTATTTGTCGATATATATGCGCCTAAAGGATTTAATCTGACCATGTCTTTCTATTTCCGTTACTTTGCGGCGGACTAATATGTATATTATACGATTCCCTCGTTCTTGCTGTTTATATTTAATTATTATATTTTGATTATCATTATTATTTTTACGTGATTTTTTTATTACTTAACTCGCTAAATGACACGCTCGTCATAAATTATATGTTATTTATGTACATTATTACGGTACAGTAACCGCTCGTCTTCGTAGTTGTACTGAAAAATATGTACATATAATATATTCATGTTATATTTGCGATTTGTTAGAAAAAACTCCTATAATACTAATTTGTAAGTTGTATACATAATAAATGATTTATATAATTTATTATTATGACTTTTTAAGTTATTTTCCTTAAACCCGATGAAAATCCTAGTAGTCTTAATTATCTATGGTAATAACCTATATTTTGAATAACAATTAACGTTTAAAGCTGCTTATCAAGTAATTGAGTGTTTTCAGGAATAAGTGTCAAATTAAACTTGCATAAATGCAGTTTTTGTTAATATTAATTGCTAATGGTTTGTTTTAGTTTCATATCTGGTATGACGTTATTCGCTTTAATTTAGCACTTATGCTCCAACATTTTACCAAGAAAACTAAAAGTAAAAAGTAAATCTAAGATATATACTACATAAGTATCTATAATATAGGAGTGCATAATAATTTAAAGTGTGGTATATAATCTTATAACAATTAATAAGCATTATATCAATTAAATATTACAGATGTCATGTGCTCACGAGTACAGGTACTAAGACTTCAAATAATAAGTATATTATAAAAAATCGTCGTTCAGTATTATAAAAATATGTAATAGATTAATATGTAGGTAATCTATAATTACCTAAATAAGATGTAAGTGATATAACTGTTATTTATATACTAAATAATAATATAATCAAATAATATTAATGTAATTATAAGTAAAATTGTGATAAATATTTAATCGCATGGATTATTTAAAAATGGAACAAACAACTATTTTTATTGTTTGAGCTGAGAAGGAAAAACATAAAAAAAAAAAAAATTAAAAATACAATCACAAATCACAGTTTTTATCCAATAACATTGATAAATTTTATTAGTTTCTTCGATAAATAAATGTTTATTGGTTTACGCCTTAACAACGTATCAACCTTTTAGGATATAGGTGAATAAACTTGTTAGACACCGGTATATAATGTGATAATTGGTAATATAATATTTGCCCTTTTATAGATACAGACATACATTCAACATTTTTGGTTTACAGTTGAGAATCCTAATATTTGTAACAGGATTATTCAATTATTATAAACATTGAAATGCTGGCGGCGAATTCTAAATAACACACAGTTATTTCGTACACGAATAAATTTGAAAAATAATTATTACACACCATAAATGATAGCGAATGTTCATGTATCCTAATAGCCATTCTATAATCAGGCATTGTGCCATAATTCCGGTTTCATTCATTGTGATCGCGAGTAGTTAAAAAACATACGATAATGCAAAATTAATCACGACAAACGATTCCTCATATAACAGCACTCAATAAATTATAAAGACATCGATTTAACAGTTGTGCACGTGTTTTTTTATCTGATCCATAATAAAGCGTTGGCCGGCTGTATAGTAATGTAATACATCTATACATAATTATTACTGTGAAAAACATATGATTCGATAGATAATTTGCTTCTAACCAACAGAAAAACATTTAACACTGTACCAGTATTATATTCTAACCGCAATACTGTGTATACGAGTAAATTACAAGCGAACAAACAAGTTGTCGCTTTTTTATTTTTTTTTAATCGGTATCAATTAAAACACCATCGTATTTGTTATGTACTTAAGCAATATTTTAGTAATATATGTTATTATAAGACTACTGCACTAGTACATTAGCCTGCAATACGAGACGGGTAGTGTAAAGGTAAATGAATCGCCGATAATTAATTACGAATTAAAGACACTAAACTAAAATCATATATTGTTCAACGGTTATTGTTATACTTTCACGTCTTTAACTTTTTATTTTTACAAAATTTAAAACATTCATATTATAATAAATATAATGTAAATAATGAACGCATAAAAAAAATAATAATAATTAAAATTTAAAAAACACAAATTTATATTAACTATATTAAATTAATATACGATGACTTTATTATAATAACAATAACTTTTTTAATAAATTATAGATTAATTATAACGTTATAAATTAATACAAATTGTACAATTTAATAATGTATAATAAGAAGATATTGTGGATATTATGAATTATGAAGAACTTGAATGTTGAAAATTACCTCTATAAGATATTGCGTAACTAATAGCAGGATAAGCAGGATAATTAAAAGTGCAATTTAGTATTTTACATTTTTAAGTAAACATTTTTTTTAAACATTGGCTACCACGTACTTTATTGCATACATAATAATATGTGAGTAAAGGATAGTCAAATATATATAATATATACAGATTATCCATTATATTACAAATGTTGTCAACGCCAAATGCATTTGCATGTAAATTTTTAATCAGGACTTCAGGACTATTATTTTAAAATACAAAGTTGGAAGTGAAATCCAAATAAATTCAAATAATTTAATAAAATTAAAACGTGTTAGAAAAGAAAAATATAAAAAAAAAATGTTGACTTACAAGAATACATAATTTTCCCATGCTTTCCTAATCTACTAAGATACTATCTAATTGAAATTATTAGTAAAAACTATTAATAAATGAACGAAGATATGTTCTCTAATTAAGTTATTCAAGTACTCAACATCATCATTTGAGGGTAATTCAACTGTTAAGTTATTAATTTATATCTTACACGTGAAATGGGTAAAAACTAAAAACTAATGTGTTGAAGTATGTGATAGAGATAATTTTCAAATATTAAATTTTCTATTAACTTTAACAAAATATGGTAATACTAATTTTATGCTAATTTAAAATAAATTTTATTTTATAGATACTTGATTCAAGCTCGTTTAGATAAAATTACTTTCACCCGCGAACTATGATATTGATATCAATTAATAATATTGAGATTTTCAAAACACTAGACTTTAATATTAGATAATAAACTTAATTTATAAATTATAACTTCATAATATGCTATTAAAAATAAAGTATACATTTATTTAGATGAAAAACACCATAAATTGTTCTTTACAATGAAATTCAAGAGGTTATAAACATTTGACATTTTAAATTAAAATAAATAACTGCTATACATTTACATAATTAGGTTTTTAAAATATCTCATGTTGAAAAACAATACTTATTATACTAAATCTAATTAAATCTAATAACTTAAAATAAATATACACCTCAAAATAAATATTATACTCATATTCTTTCAATAGATCTTTAAAAAATTAAATGTAGACAAATATATCATAAAAACATAGTTTTAAATTTTTATACAAATATTAAACAAGCAGGTAGTCATTTTTACTGTTATATATAAATATTATATATGGTTAAAATTTATCTAATTATTAATCAACAAGCAATTATACAATAATATGATATACATACGATAAAGTATCAATTGTTTTAAAAATAATTTGATCAATTTAAAAGAAGATTAAACACGTTTTAAAGGATTTTATTAAATGAGTTATTAGTTCAATAATTTACTATTTGTAGCAAAACATATTTGAATGTTCAACAGTGCAACCCTATGTTTGAATAATTTAAGTTTCATTCGAGATTTAATAATTTTTAACTAAACTAAAACTTGCATATTATCTAACACCATCATTTGGAGCCTTTGAACTTTAACATTTGTAAGTGTGTATATTAACAAATTTAAACATAGTTTAATATAGGTTCTAATACAGACAATGCGTTTAAGTAACTTAAATTTGATTTAAACCTGGTAAAGTTTATTTAAATAATATAATTAGTTTAAAATAAAATAAATACAAATTATTGAGCTTATAAGTAAGATTTCTAATAACTTATTATTATTTTTTTTGAAGTATAAATATCGTATAAAAAATAGTGCGTACAAAAATATAAAAATATCATATAATCACCAAATTGAAATATCAAAGAATAAAATACAAGCTATAGCTATTATAATGCAATTATTACTTGATAAAAATAAATTGCCAATGAATAAGAAGTCAGTAAGTATAAATAAAAATATACGTTAGGACCAATAATGGTTTCCAAGGTTATCAAAATATATTCAACATGGGAAATTTGTCAAGGGCATTTAGCTTTAGGCATTAGATAAAGAATTTTAATTATTTTTATTTTTACATTTTTATTATACCGATTCTAAAAAGCTAAATTTTAAAATAGTCTAACCTAGACCTAATATACATATTTATAATGTAAATAATTTTAGTTAAAAATTTTAATTAAAAGATTATAAAAGTATTTTAATTTAAGCTACCTACTTAGATAAATACTGAATAAATGTTAGTACGCTATCTATTTTATTTGATTCTATTAATTATTAATTAATATTTTAAATTAAATATATTTATAAAAAATGTATATTCACATAAGTATTTTTTGGTTGTCGTTTTTCTTGGCCTACATTAACTATGACACAAAATAAAAAGTTCAGTTTATAAGCTTTTGTTAAAAATATATCACATAAATCGTTGTACATCAGTTTTTGTATTCAGTTTAAAACCAAAATTATCAGAAAAATTGTTAGTGATAAAATACAGAGAAAAATGAATGAACAGTTTTTATACACATAGAAGTGTCTGCGGTTACTAACTATTATATCATTTTAATTTAGAGACTTACGAGTTATTGTGTGTACTGCGTAGTGTGTCAAACAACATTTAAAATCTTGGTTTAAAAAACACGTTTTAAAAAAAAAATAAAAACCTTTTTTTGTCAGTCTACGTATGTAATTATATAATATTTCGTGGTGAAATGGAATTCGAACGGGGTGCGGGTAAATGTGCACAAAAATGTGAAAAAAATATGTATATAATACTCTAATCGCATCGTGTGAGGTATTTGTTTATTTTTTTCGCAACACGCCTTTCAAATAATTTCTTTTTTGCGTACGTGATAAACATGCCATTATTTATGTTGACACAGGGATTGGTATCCAATATATTTTATTTATCATATTAAATGTTTACTGTTTACTGCCATACTGAGTCTAAGAAAACTACATATATATTATTGTTATGTACACAAAATAAAGAGTAACAAAATCTCCAAAAACCCTTGAGCAACCCCGTTATGCACACACACACACACATACACTCATAAATATATACATATTATTATAATATAGGCATAATAGGTGCTTCAGTATACATATAATGTAGGTAAGCATA